TCTCCATTATTGACTAGACAGCCTGTAGGATACGGTGACCTCAAGGACAAAGATACTGAACAGGTAAAGTTAGCCCAGTGAAACCACATAGGGTATTAACAGACTTGCTCTGAATCTGAAACAATACAAGGAGTGGGATGTCTGTATTCTGTAGCCATTTTACCGAAACTTTTGAGCTGCTTCCTTCACAAGGATGGCCTCCTTCATCACCCCAGAGGAAGCTGTCCCCCTCTTAGAACTTTTATTGTATTTTCTTATCCCTTCACTCATCCTGTTTGATGTCTTCTAGTGAAGTGGTTTGTAGATGGGTCTTGTCACCCACTGGAGTGTGAATTACTTAAAGGCAGGGACCAGATTCTTCCCCTTTGCCATCCCACATGGTCTGGTTCATTCGAGGGCCCAGCAGTGTCTCTTGAATGAACTAATGGCGGGATGGAGGGATGGTCAGATGAATAAATATTCATTCTGCCTGGTGAGGTACAAGTGGGTAGCTGGGAGTACCCCAGCTTTAATCCTTTATCTTTGGTTAGATTGGAAGATGGGCCTCATTTCCTCTTGCTACTTGGAACAGTCTAATGCATTTGGTGACATGTCAGAAAGTGCCTTGACTCTCGCCAGTCTGCTGGCACCACTCACAGCTCCAGAGCTCGTTAGACCCTTGGCTTGCCCCAGGGAGGACAGTTCAGGCAAGCTCCTCAGGATATGGTAGGAGCGGGGGAGGCAGGCAGTACAACCCCTGCCCACTCCAGGATGTCTGCACACAAAGACTCCACAGCATCCAGCCGCTCAATTTGTACCAGTTTTGTGAGTAGCTCTGGGATGCTGTAGCCCGCTGTGCTGATGCGGTCGAAGAGCTGCATGCCATCTGTCATTCCCCCAATCTCATCCCTCTTCAGTCCAAAGCTCTCTGCAAGGTGGCGCCACGTCTTCACAACAGCCTTCTCGGAGTTGTATGTGGAGCTGAGCATTCGGCTTGTCTTCTCGAGGCAATCGAATGGCAGCTCTGTGGGGCTGAGACCTATGGAGACCAACAGCCACAGTGAGATCTTGTAAATTGCAGTCCACAGAAGCTCAACACCATTAAAAATTATCTTAGAAACGTTTTTTAAAAATTGAAAATAAAACTCAGATGTGGAAAACCACTCGAAACAACTGCATAGCTCAAGACCCTTCCCCACTTGGAAAATAACTGCAATATTGACAATTACAGTAATCCCCTCAAGACCATTGTTAGCATTCCTCAAGGAAATCAGTATGTGTTACCCTTAGTTGGGTGACCCTGCCTCACTTGAGCTGGGCTGAGGAGGGGGCCGAAAGGACAGTATCATGTCCCTTTATGGGGACTTTAGGAAGGATGCTTTCACTGCTAGCTCAATGTGTTTGGGTTATCTGAACCAAGTTACTGCCAACTCAGTGGTCTGATCATCCTCAGCCCCTGCTGTGCATTAGGCCTACCTAGGAGAATTTTTAAAAATTGATGTATCTTTGCTTCTGAAAGATGGAGTACACATACTTTCCCCTATTTCTCCCACTATGTACAGCTAAATCCATGGACACTATGTATAAGACAAACATAAAACAAGTCCAAAAAGTGGAGAAAAGAAGATAGATCAACTAGGGACCTTGGGTCCCGAAGAATGACATGGTGATGAGTTGCAGCTAAATCCATGGACACTATGTATAAGACAAACATAAAACAAGTCCAAAAAGCGGAGAAAAGAAGATAGATCAACTAGGGACCTTGGGTCCCGAAGAATGACATGGTGATGAGTTCCCTGTTTGTTTGCTTGTTTTTTAACCTCATATATCTCAGACGTGAAGCTAAAGATTTTGAAAATCCAGAAATACTAATAAGCACAGAGAGTCCAACAAGTCTATTCTCTCTAGCCAAAGAGCAGCCTAGCAAGAACAAAATATTAAAACACTAATTGCCAAATGCCACAGAAAAAACTGTGGCCCCACCCCCGCTCAGGCCAGCGAAGGCTAAGTGAGGAGACTAGACCTCCCTCACTAGGCTGTAACACTGTGCCAGGGTGGTGTCAGTGAAGCCCAGGTAGGGAGTTAGTACTTTTACATTACTGGTCTGTAACAAGTCCCCCACTGCATGGTCTCAGTGGGAACCATGTAGGGAACCAGATTCCCATCCCCAACTAGCAGTAAAAGGAGCCCCTGTCTTGGGTTTCAAGGAAGGTTGAGTGGGGAACTTGGATGTCTACCACTACCTGGCAGTAACAAGGTTTCACCCCCTTGCTCTGCCACAGAGCCATCCAGGAGCCAGCTAAAATAGAAGGTCTAAATAAGATCTTATAACATGACATGAAACTGTCCAGGTTTCAAAAGAAACTCACTCATTGTATCAAGAACCAGGGAGATCTCAAATGAGTAAAAAAAGGCAATTGATAGATATCAACATGACAGAAATGGTAGATTATCTAAAAAATAATTTAAGGAATCCATGATACAAATACTTCAACAAGCAATTATGAACATGCTCGAAACAAATGAAAAAATAGAAAACCTCAGAAATAGAGAAAATATAAAAAAGAACCAAATGGAAATATTAGAACTGAAAAATTCAATGGCCAAAATTAAAAGCTCAATAAATGTGCTGAAAGGCAGAGTAAAGACAGAGGAATGAATCAATGAGCTGGATAACAGAACAATAGAAATTACTCAATTTGAACACAAGAGAGAAAATAAGCTGAAAAACACAAAGCCCTAGGGACCTGTGGGGTTATAACAAAAGAACTAATATTAGGCCGGCCCGTGGCTCACTCGGTAGAGTGCGGTGCTGATAACACCAAGGCCACGGGTTCGGATCCTATATAGGGATGGCCGGTTTGCTCACTGGCTGAGCGTGGTGCTGACAACACCAAGCCAAGGGTTGAGATCCCCTTACCGGCCATTTAAAAAACAAACAAACTAACAAACAAAAAAACCCAAAAGAGCTAATATTTGTGTCATGGAGTTCCAGAAAGAGAGGAGAAAAAGGNAAAAAAACCCAAAAGAGCTAATATTTGTGTCATGGAGTTCCAGAAAGAGAGGAGAAAAAGGGTTGGGCTGAATAAGTACTTGAAGAAGTAATGGCTGAAAACCTCTCAAACTTGTAAAGAGGCACAAGCCTAAAACTTCAACAAGTTGAGCAAACCCCAAACAGGAAAAACCCAAAGAAATTCATGTCAACACACATTATAAATAAACTTTTGAAAAATAAAGACAAAGTCTTGGAAGCAGCCAGAGAAAAACAACACTTTACCTATAGGGGAAAATCAATTAGAATGACAGCAGATTTATCAACAGAAACCTGGGGACCAGAAAAAAGAGGCACAGTATTNTTAGAATGACAGCAGATTTATCAACAGAAACCTGGGGACCAGAAAAAAGAGGCACAGTATTCTCAAGTACTGAAAGAGAAGAACTGAACCAGAATCCTATACCCAATGAAAATATCCCTCAGGAATAAAGGGAAAATCAAGACATTCCAAGATGAAGAAAAACGAAGAGAATTTGTCATTAGCAGGTCTTCCCTAAAAGAATTACAAAGGAAAATTCTCTAAACAGAAAGGAAATGATAAAACAATGAATCTTGGAACATCAGAAAAGAACACAGTAAACAAAAGTACTGGCAAACACACTATGCTTCCCTTCTCCTTTTAAGTTTTCTGAATTATATTTGGCAGTTGAAGCAAGTGATTTTGTCTTAAATATAAGTAGAGAAAATATTTAAGTCAACTATAAACAGGGAAGGTAAAGTGACATAAAGAAAGGTAAGATTTCTATACTTCATTCAAACTGGTAAAATGATAATACCAGAAGACTGATGTGTATATATATATATGTACATATATATGTATATATATATATACATATACACACACTAGTATATATTATGCAATAACTAGAGGAACTACTAAAATAGCTATGGAAAAAGATGTACTCAAAACACATCAAACACATCACTCAAAAAACATCAAAATGGAATTCTAAAATATGTTCAAGGGTCACAGGGAAACAGAAAAAAGAAAACAGAGAAATAAAAACCACAGACAATGAACAGTAAACAAACAAACAAACAAAAACTGTAGACTTAAGCCCTAATATAACAATGACTACATTAAATGTAAATGGTTTAAACACCAACTAAAAGGCAGAGTTTGGCAAAGTGGATTTAAAAGTTACACAATTATATGCTGTCTGCAAGAAAGTCACTTCTAAAATAGTGACATAGGCAGGTGAAAGTAAAAGGATAAAAAAAGATATATCATGAAAGCTTTAGTAAAAGGAAGCAAAAGTTGCTATAGTATCAGATAAAGTAGACCAGCACAAAGAAAATTATCAGTCAGAGACACATTCTATAATGATTAAAGGGTCAGTCTACCAAGAAGACATAGCAATTCTAAATAAATATACACCAAACAACAGCTCCAAAATATGTGAAGCAAAAACTGATAGACATGAAAGGAGAGAGAGATAAGTCCACAGTTATAGTTGAAGACTCCAACACCTCTCCCTCAGCAACTGATAGAACAATAAGAAGAAAATCAGCAAGAATATAGAACTCAACGTCATCGACCATAAGGATCTAATTGAAATTTATAGAAAACTCCACCCAACAATAGCAGAATACATATTCTTTGTAAGTGCAGGCCTTAAACCTCAAAAAATGTTAAAGAATTGAAATTGTATAGGGCATATTCCCCTACCACAATGGAATCATATAGGGATCAATAACACAAAAATCTTCACACACTTGAAAACTAAACAATACACTTGTAAATAATCCATGGGTCAAAGAAGAAGTCTCAAAGGAAATTAAAAAATAAATGAAAATCAAAATACATATCAATATTTGTGGCACACAGCAAAAGTAGTACAGAAAGAGAAATTTATAGAACAAATACCCACATCACAAAAGAGGAAAACTCTCAAAGTAATAATCTAAGCTCCCATCTCAAGCACCTAGAAAAAGATTAGCAAAATAAACCCAAAATAAACAGAAGGAAGAAAATAATAAGAAAAGAGCAGTAATCAATAAAATACAAAAGAATAAGGCAACAGAGATCAACATGGAAAGGGCCAGTTATTTGAAAAGATCAATAAACCTGACAAATGTCTAGTAGACTGATAAAGAAAAACTAAAGAGAGAAGACATGGATTACCGATATTGAGAATAAAGCAGGGGATATCACTAAAGATCCTGTAGTCATCAAAAACATAATAAAGCAACTCCAACCTTATACACATAAATCTGACAATTTGGATGAAATTTAAAAAATTCCTCAAAAAGCATAAACTACTCACCCAATATGAAATAGATCATTTGGACACACTTATAATTATTAAGGAATTATAAGAAAATCTCCAGCCCCACATGGTTTGCTAGAGAATTCTACCAAATGTTTAAAGAATTAACATCAATTCTACACAGTCTCTTCCAGAAAATTGAAAAGGAGGAAACACTTCCCAACTCATTCTGTGAAGGAAGTATTAACTTGATACTGAAACTAGACAAAGACAACAAGCAGCTAGAGAATTCTACCAAATGTTTAAAGAATTAACATCAATTCTACACAGTCTCTTCCAGAAGATTGAAAAGGAGGAAACACTTCCCAACTCATTCTGTGAAGGAAGTATTAACTTGATACTGAAACTAGACAAAGACAACAAGCCAAAGGAAAACCACAGACCAATATCTCTCATGAATATAAATGCAAAATCCTTAACAAAATATTAGCAAATAGAATTCAGCAATTTCAAAAAGAATTATACACCATGAAAAGGGGGGTTTATTCCAGGGCAGCAAGGCTGGTTCAATATTCAAAGTCTAACGTTATCCATTCACAAAATTAATGTCAACCATTTACAAAAAACCTAGAGCTAACATTATACTTCATGGTGAAAAACTAAATGCTTTCCCTTTAAGATCAGGAACAAGGGAAGGATTTCTGCTTTCACCACTCTTATTTAACATAATGCTGGAAGTTACAGACAATGCAGGAAGGTGAGAAAAGGAAAGAAAATGCATAGACTGGAAAGGAAGAAATAAAACTGTCCCCATTTGCAGATGTGATTATCTATGTAGAAACTCCTAAGGAATCTATAAGAAATCTCCCAGATCTTATAAGTGAATTCAGAAAGGTTACAGGAAACGTGATAAACATACAAAAAATAATGGTATTTCTAAATACTAGCAATAGATACATAGATACTGAAATTAAAATATCATTTACAATTGCTCAAAAATAAATAAAATGCTTAACACATAAATCTAGCAAAATATATGCAGAAGTTGTATTCTGAGAATTACACAATGCTGATGAAGGAAATCAAAGATGATCTAAATAAATGAAGAGACATACTATGTTCATGGATTAGAAGACTCAAAATGATAAAGATGTCAAATCTCCCCAAACTGATATATGTGCTTAATGCAATTCCTATTGAAATCCCAGCAAGACATTTTGTACATATAGGGAAGATTATTCTAAAATTTAGATGGAAAGGAAAAGGAACTATAACAGTTAAAAGATTTTTGAAAAAAAGAATAAAATTGGAGAACTCTATCTGCTTTCTTATATTATACAGGAATCAAGACTGTGTGGTACTGTCAGAGGGACACACAGATCCATGCAACAGAACATAAAACTGAGAAAATAAGCCTACACAAATATACCAAATGGATTTTCGATCAAGGTGCAAAAGTGATTCATTGGAGGAAAGAGCCTTTTCAACAAATGGTGCTATTGCAAGTGGACATCCACAGGCAAAAAAACGGACCTCCACCTAAGTCTCATATCTTGTATACAAAACATAAAACTATAAAACTTTTAGAAAAAATTGTGGGAGAAAATCTTTGGGATCTAGGGTTAAGCAAAGAGATCTTAGACTTGACCTCGAACACAATCCATATAAGGAAAAGTTTATAATAAATTTGACTCATAAAAATTTAAAACATTCCTCTGTGAAAGACACTGTAAAGAGAGTGAAAAGACAAGCTAAGCTAGCTGCACAGTGGAAAAAAAATATTTGCAAACCACAACCCATCACAGGACTAGTACCTAAAATACATAACGAACTTTCAAACCTCAACAGCAAAAAAAAAAAAAAGAGGCACAATCCAACTAGAAAATGGGCAACACATGGGGAAACTGGATTATTCATACATTGTTAATGGGAATATAAAATAGTACAGCCGCTTTGGAAAACATTTTGGCAGTTTTTAACAACACTAGATATGCAGCTAGCATACAACTCAACCGTTGCACTCCCGGTCATTTGTCTCAGAGAATCGATGCCTTGGGCTCACACAAAAACCTGTACACAAATGTGTGTAGCATTTCTATTCATAATATCCCCTAACTGAAAACAACCCAGAGGTCCTTCAGTGGGTGAATGGTTAAACCAACTGTCATGGAACACTTCTCACAATAGAAAGGAATAAACCACGGACAGCCGAAACAACCTGGATGAATCTCCGCTGAATGGTTCCAAGTGAGAAAACCATTTACGAGAGGTTAGATGCTATACGATTTCACTTTTAGAACATTCTTGAAATGATAAAATTACAGAAATGGAGCGCAGATTAGTGGTTGCCAGGGGCTGAGGAGGGGTGGGGTGGCTGGGAACGGGGTGTAGCTACAATAGGGCCATAGGAGGGCTGCTCATGGTGACGGAATTAGTCTCTGTCCTCATTGTATCAGTGTCAGTGTCCTGGTTGTGACTTTTATGCATGATTTTACAAGATTAATATCTCATTAGGAGAAACTGGGTGAAGGACACACAGGACCTCTGCATTATCTCTTACCACTCACTGTATGGTAAGAATTATCTCAAAATAAAAAGTTTAATTAAAAACAAAAACCCAAAAAGACATTGATGCCTGGGATTCTCCCAGACTAATCACGTCAGGATCTTGGGGCAGGCAGGGTGGGCTGGGTAGGCAGAGACAGCGTTAAGATCTCCAGATGACGCTGACGTGCCCTGGGGCTGGGCGCTACTGATCTGCAGTTCTCCATCTTGGCTGCGTGCAGGTCGGCCACTGTGGGATCATGAGGCCCATGTGCCTGGGCCGCCAGATGAGGCTGAGGGCATGGGGCTGTAAGCTCTCCACCCCCCTCTCCCAGGCTCACTGGAGGGGCTCCTCTTGTGTGTGGGGTTTCTAAAATTAATTGGAAAACCACTGTCCCAGGGGTATGGGCTCTTAAAGCCAGGACATTCTTTGGAACAGAGGAGAGCTCCCTGGGGTGACGGAATGCAAGTCTCTGATGGTCCTCCACTTGGCAGCCGACAGCCCCACCACGCCAGGCCAGGCTCGTGACCCCAGGCATGTAATTATGGAGAGATGCCACATTTCAGCAGGCAGCCAAGAAGAATTCTTGGCCATGGAACTTGCCCTCCGTAGTTATTTCTGGCCAATGGAGCACACGACCAGCAAGCTGGCCAGGCTGGTGGCTGGACAGGCCCACTTGGGTGTGAGCAGCCAAGTGTCAACAGAGCTCACTAAGATGGGAAGTGGGAAAATCCCCTGACCTCAGTGATGAGCTGTTTATCTTTGGGGGTGAATAGGAAGGTAACTGAGAGAATGGATTTTGTGGAAGTTGGGAGCTGTGGGTAATGACTTCAGATTGAAGTCCTGCTGCCTTTTACCCACCCACATCCAAACTGCAGTTCCCAGAAGGTAGGTTTGGAAGGGAGGTGAGAGGCTGTACAAGGCTGTCAGAAATCATGAGCCACTAGAGGGAAAGAAAGGACTGCTGAGAGCTGGGTAAAGGACGGATAACCAGGGAGTTCCCAGGTAATGAAGCCTGTGCCCGCATGTCCCAGAGGTGAGCACCTGCACCGGGCTCTCCCTTGTCCTGTGAGGGCAAGGGCCAGGGGAGTGCTGAGGAGATGCCTTGAAATAGCTGGGAGCCAAATTCCACTTTCCTCCACACCTGAAGTCGGTTCAGGCGGCCGTCCTGATGAGGAGTGCGACATGCCACATGGGCAACCTTCCTCAGTCCCCTCTGTCAGACCGCCTTTCCACTGCTGATAACAGGGGCAGGTTGACAGGGACCCCCTTGAGTAAGTGTACACCAAGTGCTCTTGCACACTTACCTTCAACGACTCCACACACATTGGCATACACGTCCAGTATCTTTTTCCTTCTGCTTTGAATCTATGAAAGAGTTAAGAGAATGTCAACCTTCAGCAAGGGGAAAATGATAGCAAAGACCCGGATGCGCCATCTCAGCATTGGCAGGTGGAAGCTTTACCCTGATACCCAGGAAGCATGCACCAGATCCTCCTGGAGCGTCCCAGCCCTAACTCAGAGGAGGAAGGGGACTCTGTGGGTTTTCCTATGCACATCTCCGGCGCCCACCTGGGGGCGCTTCCTAGGCTCAGCTGGGCAGTCAGACTCACAAGACCTGAGGCCACAGCTATGTGGGAGGACGACCGTGGGGACCACAGCTGGGCAGCTGCACATGCAGCTTCCCCTCCCTGGAGTAGGGCTGCAGCAATGCTCTGGTGCTGAGCGGCCCTGGCTGAACAGTCCATGCCCACACCCACTCACATCTCTTGTGACAACATCACAGGCCTGCAGCGTCCCTGCAAGTGGTGACCCTGTTAAAGAGCCCACTGAACTCGGGCAGCCCAGAGTATGGCATTTCATCAGGACCAGGCCACACCCAGGATGCCACCCAGACATATCACTGTCTTGCGGCCAGGCTTGCAGCCAGAGGCATAGCCAGGGAGCAGCCACACACAAGATCCCCCTGTCTCACTTGGTTCCAGGGCAGCCTGGGGACAATTTGTACTTGTGAACCTATTTTTATGTTAAAAAGTACACATAAGAAATACCTATGTAGAAAGGTGTCTGGTTGGATATATGCTAGTTTACAAAGGGTTTTTTCTGTCCTGTGGCATTCCAAGGGATTTTAACTCTTTTCTCTTTGCTTAATTATTATTTTTCATTTTTTTCACTATAAAGTATATAAGAAATGCTTTCTGTTTTTACTCTCCTACTGTTAACCTGTCACTCTGTCCACGTTTCCCATCTTGGGCATGTGGGAGGAGCTCCCTGGCTCCGAGGAGAGCTCATTCGATAAGAAGTCCTGGTCTCGTGGCCGAGAGGCATAGCGTGAGCGTCTGCAGGAGCCTTACCCCGGCAGACTTGCTGCTGGGGGCAGACTTCTCCCGTGCCAGGTGGACCAGCGACAGCAGGCACAGCTCTGGGGAGCCCTGCTTGTCGGTGGCAGGCTCCTCATCACTGTCCACACTCCGGCTCAGCAGCTGCTCATTCTCAGAGGAGGCATCGTTCTCGCTGCAGAAACAAGAGGGACGTTTGTCAATGGTTCCTGGGAGGCTGCAGCCCTGACGGTTCTCCCAGTGGACCTGTGCCACCCAGGTGTGCCAGGTGTGTTCGTTCCTCAAGGGTTTACTGAGCACCTTGTGGGCACCAGGCGAGGGGACATGAGATGAGAAAGATACAACCCTGCTTCCTGCTCCTTTCCAAAGAAGTAACTCCACTACGGTGTGACCTGCAGCTGTCCGCACATGTGTGTGTGTGGGGGGGTCACAAAGGTGCGGTGGGAGCTCCAAGGGGCAGGGGGCCACCTCAGATGGCACATCTCCACAACCCTGCTTCCTGCTCCTTTCCAAAGAAGTAACTCCACTACGGTGTGACCTGCAGCTGTCTGCACATGTGTGTGTGTGTGTGGGGGGGTCACAAAGGTGTGGTGGGAGCTCCAAGGGGCAGGGGGCCACCTCAGATGGCACATCTCCACACCCCACTGTCTGACACATGGTGGATACTCACTACAGGTTCACTGAGTATGTTCTAGATTCTTATGTTTAATCTCGATAAGCACCAAGTTCAACCTTGTGTCTCCATGCTAAGTACACCCGTGCATGGGCGGCACTGAGTCCACACAGGCTGTCTAGAATAATTGTGGATGAAGCTGACTGGAGCCTCATGTCTGGGAAGCCCCTCTTGGCTGGTGGGGTGACCCACCTGAAAGTCTGCCTCATCGGGTAGCACAGTGAGCCTGGAGGGTGAGCAGGCCAGGAGGCAGGTGCAACAAGCTCAGGCGCAGGCCACACTACTGCTTGCCGCCCAGGTCTGTGCAGGCCTGGGGCCGGCCTTCAGTGCTTGCAGGCTGAAGCTTAAACTCTCAAAACCATTCCAAATATGAGAAAAACAATATTTCTTCTAATAGGCATCCTGTTTGTTTCCAGTGATTTGGCTCGACTTTTTTTTTTTTAAAGAAAAAGATTTATATTTGCTAGTATGTATATATATATAACTCAGTATATACATAACTGGGTTACAGAAATGAAGCCCATATGCAAACACAACCCTAGAGACAGGATAATACAAAGAAAATAAAACAATGTTGAAGCCCCTGGCAGAGCTGCTTCCTCCTTAGGCTTCAGGCCCATCTCGTCCCCACCTAAGAGCAGGTGAAGTGGGAACGCACCACTTCACCGGCCAACTGCCTGCCCCACCAGCTCCTGTCTCCAAAACCCAAGAGTGGATGGCAGGGACCAAAGCTCAGTGCCTTGCTGTCTTTAAAAAACAATTTTCAGGTTTTAATTTTTATGCAATATTTGTGTATGAAATAAGTATTTTTCTAAGTAGGGTCCCCCAATTATCCCTGTCTTCAGGTGAAACCCAAGTCATGGGATATGTCCCTGCCTTTTTGAGTACTTCTCGGAGTAAGAAAGGCTGGAAAAACAGAAGAGGAGAGTCTGAGACAGGATGAGATTATGCTGGACTGGGGCTGGGGGAGCATCTCCGTCTCAGTGAGGCCATGTATAAGAGTCAGATCCACGCAGCACAGCTGGGC